CCTTGGATTTTTTCTCTTCCAATTTTGCTTGTTCTTTAGAAACCACAGGTTTGGCTTCCTTCTTCTCTTTGGACAGCAAATCCCTTTGCACTCCTTCCTTTACAGCTTCTTCCCCCTTATCATCTTTGATCGGTGCCTTATTCTTCGGTGTCTGTAAAACCTCCAGTTCCTGTCGTTTCTCTTCTTTCTTTTCTAACGCTTCCTTAGGCCCCTCTTTGGCCTCTGCTTTCTCTTTCGAAACTTCCTTGACCTTTTCCTTTTCTTCCTTCAAAGCCATCTTCTCCTTTGTCCCTTCTGTTCTTTCCTTCTCTTTGGTATCTGCTGTCCTTTTCTCCATCTTCTCTTTCGCTTTCTCCTTCTCAATGATTTTGTCTTTACTCCCTGCTGTTCTCTTCTCAACCTCTTTCTTTTTGATTTTCGCTTCCTCTTGAGTATCTTTGGTTCTAGTCTTGATTTTAGGCTTAGGCTCTTCTTTGGTTTTTGATGGTTCTTTCTTGTCTTTCTCTTCTTCTCCAACCTTACTCTTCTTCGCTTCTGCTTTCTTTTTCAACAGTTCGTCAGCAGTGTCAGCCTTCTTCTTCTTTTCCTTCTCCTTCTTCATGATCTCTTCAACTGTGTCAAACTTCTTTTTTCTACCTTCCACAACCATCTCCTCCTTGCTCTGTAGGGCCGGTGTTTTGCTTACTGCTTCCGGTGCTTTTTTCTTTGCAAGTTGCTCTAATATTTTCTCCATGACAGCTGAAGGTGGTTTCCTAACTACACCAAAGGCGGCCAGTCTTTTATCAACATCTGTCATTGTCAGTTCCGATGACACTTCTCGCTTCTCAACATCTGTACTGGCTGTTGTTTGTTCGGATGATTCCTTATACAAATTTCGTTCGAGAATCATTTTACTTTCATACATCTTCTGAAGCATAGTTAGATACACTATCAAATGTATATTCTGAATTTGTGCTTTCGGCTGAACTACATACTCTTCTCGAAGACTTCGGTGGAGGAGCGCAATTCACTTTAATCGGATCGCTTTTAAAGAATTCTGCTGCATTTTCCCAAGCATAAGGTTTTTTGAGTTGTTTCTCCTGAAGAAGATTGTAGTAAGCAAAAGTTTCAATATTTTAACTTTATTTTTTCGAAGTTTTGCTAATAGATCTCCATTATTTGCGTATAGGCACATGTTTCATCATACTTTAGCAAAGCTTTTATCCAAAAAGCAGCGCATGGAGCTACGTAACCACAAGTTATCTTTTTGAAAAGGAAAATTTCATGCATTTTGCCTTGATATGAAACGAAACATACCTGCGCACTATCTTAAGCCATTACGTAACTTACTATTTTTCTCACGGATTCCGGAGTCTCCCAGTCGTAAGGATCTGAAGCCTTCGCACCTACTCGTTTCATAACGGCTACTAGTCCATTGTAGAACATTCTGGAAGCATAATCAATCTGGAATTGCTGATATTTTAATTAATAGGGAACCCACGAGTAATCGGGTCGTTGATAATAGTCCAATGTTCGTAAATGTGGAACAACACCATGTAGTTCAACTGAAAAGAAGATAATTTTGGTGGCGTCGTGTTCCAGTTCCAATTTAGGAAATTGTACCCGGAAAATTTAACACAAGGTCCTTATCGCTCATGTGCATTTTTAATAACTCCACCTAAAATGGGATTTTTCTAATTTTAATCCTGCATGTCTAAACGCATGTGTGCTTTTCTCAACCCACTTTCTGCTTGTCTCGTAGTGTTTGCCATGGGAGACCGCAATGCAGTTCAATAAAAACATAATAAAGTGACCAGAGGTCATCTCTTCTACCCTAGAGTTGGGTAGAAAATTTGTCATCATTTACGCTTACGGAAAAAACAGTTTCTTACTTGCTCCTTCTTTTCGTGTACATTTGGTGAACAATACCGCAATGTTCCACGAAATTCTGCTGTACCTCTTGCTCGCCTAGCTACCCATGTTCCGTCCTTCTGAAGTACATATGGTTAACTTCAGTGACGACCGAACAAAGATTTTCGAACTTGGAAATGAATGCTCTAATTGCGATATCGCAACTTCTCGTTCAGCTGTACATTTCTAGGCTTTGCACCCATGTAATTGGTCGAATGATTTAAGTATTCCCCCCCAATGGATTGCTGACTGTGACTGCTGGTTATTTTGCTATGTGGTAACTTACCGACTGAATCGCATATGATCGAGATAGCCCAAAATCAAGGATGTGGACCAATCGCGCGCGCTCATAGTCTTCTCGATAACCCATAACAAAATTATTCGGTTTTATATCCCGATGTACAAATCCATAGTCGTGGACAAGCTTAACGCTG